ATTCTAATTTATTAACAATTATGAACTCATTTTTTATAATAGACTTTGAGTTTATAACTCAAGGAATAAACAATTTAGTAGTAACAACTGGAGCATTAAAAAGAACATTTATAGTCTCTGATATAAACACATTCAAGGACAGGGCTATTAGACTAAGAAATGGGAAAACAAATTATATTGTGAAAAATGAATTTGATACTTTAAAAAATCAAATTAAATTTAATCTAAAAAAAAAACCCAAAGAACACATTGATATGGCGATTAAACATTTGAAAAATTCTTTCTTTATAAATCAAAATATTTTTAATAAACAGTATATAGGGAGACATATATTCAAATATTATGAGAATCCTACTATAATATTTTTCTCAGGCAACACAGATAAATCAATTTAAATCAATATGGGCTTTAAGGGGATAAATATTATTAATATACTAGCAAAAAAATATGACAAACATATTAAAAAATATATGTCAAAATTAGACCTTCTGATTAAATTATATTCTGAATAATGAATTTGAGAATTTAAAAATTCAAATTAAATTTAATTTAAAAAAGAAACCTAAAATACAGATTGATATGGCAATTAAACATTTAGAAAATTCTTTTTTCACAAATCAAAATACCCTTAATAAACATTTCATAGGAAAACAAATATTCAAAAATTATGAAAATCCTNTCATAGGAAAACAAATATTCAAAAATTATGAAAATCCTACTATAATATTTTTCTCAGGCAACACAGATAAAACAATTTTAATAAATATGGGATTTAAGGGAATAAATACTCTTCATATTCTAGCAAAGAAATTTAACAATCATATTGAAAATTATATAATATCAAAATTAGACTTTAACAGCCATAATATAATAGAAATATATAATAAAAATACATTAAAAGACTCATTCTTTATATCTCTTGAAACAATAACTCCAAAAAGAATTTCCTCAGAGATATTAGCCGTTGTGCAGATTCTATACATTCATAAAATAGGGAATTTATTAAATTTATCTGAAACTCACAACTTAATATATAAAAAAAACGCATATATCAAGTGGAGAACCACATGACCCATCATTTGATGTAGTCATGACAGATTGTCTTCTGGCATATTTAGCACGATTTGTAGGATATAATATGTTGGAACAAATTATTTTTTCACACTTTCTCATTTTCTTTTTTTTTTCATGAAGAATCATACATCATAACAAAAAATTATTTGCAGAAATTTATTTTGAAATAATTTTTTTTCAAAAGGATATTGTAAGTCTTATAATTTCATTTGCAAACTCATCATATTAATAATGGTTAACAAAGTTTTTATAATTGAATTTGAAACTCTATGTATTAACAATAATAAAGTGTTAGCTATAACTAAAGGTGCTTTCAAAGAAACACTTATAAATTCCTCAATACATTCTCTAGAAGGCAACCCCATATTAATTACAACAAATAATAATTCTAAGATTACTAAAAGTCCTATTGAACAACTTTTTGCCTCAAATATAAAGGAAATCTCTAGTCGTTCGCACACGAATAAAAGAAACCCGAGTAAAAACATAGTATATCAGGAAAATAGTCTTAACACCCAACATATTGGAACCCTTTTATCTGATGGCAGGAATATTCCCACAATAATAGTATATGGTTTTCAATCACGATTAAATATTGTTGAGAAATTGGGCTTACGTGTTGATAGGTTACATATTATGGGAGGTAGAATACTGAATTCCAAATTTTTTTCCTTGAAACTATGTCGTTTCCGTCATGATGGGGAGTGTATAAAATTAATAGAAGCCATAATACCAGGCACTCACGAAATACAAGGCAATTATTTGAAATTAGTAGAGTCGCATTCCATAGTATGTAAACGTCAACACAATTTGAATATCAAAAATCAGGAATATTCCTACAATAATAGAATATGGTTATCCATCGCATTTGTATGTTGTAGAAAAATTGGTCTTACGTGTGGACAGTTTGCATATTATAGGGAGTAGGATACTAAATTCCACGTTTTTTACTTTGAAACTATGTCGACTTCGTTATGATAGGGAATGTATAAAATTATTAGAAGTAATGCTACCAGGCACTCATGAAAAACAAGGTAATCATCTGAAAGTAATAGATTCACATTCTTTAACGTGTAGACGTCAACACAGTGTAAACATCAATGATACTATTGATAAAGTGCAAATGATCGATTGCCTTATGTTATATGGTCGTTCTAAATCTTAAAAAAGAGTACAACTTAATATGTAAAAAAACGCATATATCATGTGGAGACCCACACACGATTTGGAAGTTATAGTATAATGGAAAAATAAACCAGTTCTTTCAGTAATTTTAAAATACACCAAATCTACGACACTCTACTCAAGATTTTACTCTCCGGGACTTAGTCGATTTTTTTACTTAATTTGGACTTAGAATATTTAACTCTATCTATTAACTATAATAAAGTGTTAGCTATAACTAAAGGTGTTTTCAACGAAACACTTATAAATTACCCAATACATTCTCTAGAAGGCAACCCCATATTAATTACAACAAATAATAATTCTAAGATTACTAAGAGTCATGTACCTCTATTATTAATGGAGAAATCATATACCTCATGAAATGCAAACCAATTCCAGTCAAAATGGCAAAAACAGATACTTGTTTTCATGAGTTACCTGTCATACATCAAAATCAATCATTTTTTATGGCTCCAAAATCACATATATTACAAAAATATGGAACAGAAATTAGTGCGTTTAATGAGGAAATCAACACTGGATTACTTGAAATATTATTGTATTACATAGGACGTAAGATAAGTACAATTTAACCTATGCTATCGAACTTCCAACAATCTATTGCGTAATAAACCATTAATAATTAATAAGAGAAACAATTAATGAGAAAATTAATTTAGATATAATTGAAGACAAATAGCAAATAGAAGAGTCAACCCAATATAATAATATAAACAAAAAATAATCTTGTATTGGATGTTTGCACATTAATAGTTTAAGTCCCACCTACAAATATTAAGTAGGTAGGAATAAGTATAAAAATTAGTCATTGAGGATTCACAAAAATCTTCACAAGTCAGTTTGTAAAAACTACCCCTGCGGCCTACACTTTGAACTACTCTCTACAACACAGTCAACTCAGAATTCACTCCTCTCTTTAATATTAAAATTCAATTTATCCATTAAAATGAACTCATTTTTCATAATGGACTTTGAATTTATTACTCAAGGCAAGAACAATATAGTAGTAACAATTGGAGCGGTTAAAAGAACATTCATAGATTCCAAAATAAATAAGTTAGAGGGCAGAGCAATTAGAATAAAAAATGGGGTGACAAATTATAATTCAGAAAATGAATTTTACAACTTAAAAAATCAAATAAAATTTAATCTAAAAAAGAAACCTAAAGATCAGATTGAAATGGTTATCAAACATTTAAAAAATTCTGTCACTACTGATCAAAATACCCTTAATAGAATATATATAAGTAGACAAATATTTAAACATTATGGAGAACCTACAATAATATTCTTCTCGAGAAATACAGATGAGGCCATTTTAATTAACCTAGGTTTTAAGGGAGTAAACACCTTGAATGAATATAATGGCAAAAAAGTATGACAAACACATCGAAAATTTTCTTATATCAAACTCAGAGAATGATAGTCATAACATAATAGAAAAATGTAATAATGATATATTAGATAATACATTCTTTATATCCCTTGAAACTTTGACACCAAAGGGAGTTACTTCCAAAATTTTAGCTGTTGTGAAAATTCCATACGTTCAGAAAGTAGGGAATTTGTTAGGCATATCTGATACCCACAACTTAGTATGCGGGAAGAAACATTTATCACATGGAGAGCCACATTACTCATCATTTCATGTGGTCATGACAGATTGCCTCCTGGCATACTTAGCGAAATCCGTTGGATATAGCGAATATATATTTTTATCATGGAAATAAATGTCAATTAACATCTTAAACCTCAAACATTTTAAAATTATTTTATTTTTATAACTAACCCAACCTAACTTTAATTATTCATATAATACTAAATATTCATTGTGAGCTTTTCTTAATGGGTAGCTAGTCACGTTGTTAATGTCTTTGTTCTACGAACTGCCGGAAACAATTAATACATTTTCAGTTAATAAATCTATACTAACAAATAATATTATTAATATTACTATATTTGAGAAAAATATCAATATCATTATTAAATTTTATAATCCATTTTTTATAAATTCATTATAATAAACCAATTAGAGTAGAAAGTCTCGGCTTCCAAGATCACGGTAGGGATCGCTTGGCTACTCCCATCGGACTATAAAAAGCCATTTTCCCCGTCTAAACCAGTTCTTTCAGTAATTTTAAAATACACTAAATCTATGACACTCTACTCAAGATTTTACTCTCCGGGACTTAGTCGATTTTTTTACTTAATTTGGACTTAGAATATTTTTTTAAAACAAATAAATGACACTTAGAAATTTTAAAGTGAATTTTGTTTTGGTGAATCTTTTGATTTGATTTAATTTGTTCAATCATTAATAAAATTTTATTTTTTTTGTTGTGGAAATAAATATCACTAAAAAAACAATGGATTCCAAATTATACCGATAGAAAAATCAGGTTAAGTTATCCTCCGCCAATAACAAAAACAAGGATAGATTACAGAAATATGACCCTATGTAAGAGAATTCTATCGACACCCACACTAAAAATTACAAACCAGGGTCACTTAATTACACTAAAATGGAACATGCATATCAGTCACAAAATAGCTAAGATTAAATATTTCGAGTTATTCATATGTGTAGAATCCAACTTACTAGCCAAATCTAACACGTGGAATAAACTTATTATAAATTCGCATTCATTATCCACTACTGAGAGCAATAAATGAACACGAAAGATGCACCATATTCAGTGGCGTGTCATACATGTGTGCGNTGGGTGTCTGGACACCCCCCTTGGACCGTATTTTTTATTTAATAACTATTGAAAAGTGATCTATTTATATTAAATTTATAACATAAAAATCATAATATTGCAGTCTTCATAATGCAGACGATTTATCAGAACAAATGGTTTAAAATATTATTATGAAAGTCCATAATAATTTATGTATAAATTCAGAAATATTTATCTTGGTTAAAATAAGAATATTATTTGAATCTTGATGTAAACTATTTTTATTTTTATTATATTTAGAAATAATTTACATTATTCAGGTTCTTATCTTTTATGATAGGCAATTAGATATTGATGTAAATTTGTAATACGAAAACCGACCACGTGGCCATCTAAGTTATTATTAGTTTATATTAAGTCTAATAATATTGATAAATTAATAACATCAGTTGTCCGATATTTATTCTCAGTGTCGGTTCTTTGAGTTATCTACGTATTTGTGTGCATGTGCGATATAAGATATTATATAAACGTGATTAGGTTTTGTATTTCTAATCTTACAATATAATATACTGTTTCGTAAAATGAGTAAACGTGTTAATAAAAGTATAACTGACTTTTTTGCCAAAAAAGTACCGCGGCAGGAATTAAATACAAATAATGCGAAATTTTGTCCGGAAGATGATTTAAGCCAACAAATAGAAAATGTACATTGTCAGCACGATAATCTGCAGGTTAGTTTATTTGATATTGAATTATGTGTTGGTAAAAAGTTATCAAATAAAGAAAAAATAGATTTTTTTCAAAACACATGGACCCCAGAAAAAACATTTATTTTCCCAACAACAGAATTTAAAAACAAAAAAAAATTGAAGTTTCAATTTAGTTGGTTGGAGAAATGGATTTGGTTGGCGTATTCACATAAAGAAGACGGCGCGTATTGCAAGTATTGTGTTATATTTAATAAAACGGAAGGAGGTTCTCAGGTTTTGGGTAATTTTAGTCTTAAGCCTTTTAAAATTTGGTATAAAGCAATAGAAAAATTTAATATTCACGAAAAGTGTAATTATCACCTCAAAGCAGTTGAAGAGTATCAGAACATTGTTGCTATTGAAGCTGGAAAACAAGATTCAATAGATTTACAATTAAATAAAGCTTCTAAAATGCAGAAAGAATTGAATAGAAAAATAATTATTCCAGTAATCGAATCTGTGGTTTTTTGCGGAAGACAGGGAATTGCCTTACGCGGACATCGGGATTTTGGAATGCTAACGACGGAAAACCCAATAGAAAATGACGGTAACTTTAGAGCTTTAATGCGATTTCATATGAATGCGACAAAGTTGTCTGGTGATGAATCTTACGAATTGGCAAGAACAAATTGTGCAAAAAACGCGCAGTATACAAGTTGGAAGATTCAAAACGAAATTATCAGTTCTTGTCATGATATTATTTTATTTAAAATCATTGATGAAATCAATAATAGTAAATGTTTTTCGGTAATAGCTGACGAAACGGCAGACGTGGCTGGCATTGAACAATTTTCGTTATGTGTTCGTTATTTTGATTCTAAAAGTAAAATAATAAAAGAACAATTTTTAAAATTTGTACCTGTTATGGACTTAAGTGGAAGCGCACTTGCAAGTATAATTATTAAAGAACTTACTGACATGAAAATTGAAATGCAGTACATCAGAGGACAGGGTTATGATGGAGCTGCATCGATGAGTGGGAGATTCAATGGTGTACAATCATGCATAAAAAAAGAATATAAAACTGCTATATATGTTCATTGCAGTGCGCACAGTTTAAATTTAGCTATAACTTATGCTTGCGGTGTACAATCCATTCGAAATACTATGGGTACAATCGAAAAAGTTTTCGTATTTTTAAATACTCCAAAAAGACAAGCTGCATTTTCAAAACATGTCAAAGAACTGAATCAAGAAAATACTCATAAAGAAAAACTAAAACAGAGGCATGACTCAGTAGAAGTGTTTGATCAACTTCTTCCTGCTGTCCATTCGTGTTTAGAAGAAATGACTAGTTGGGCAGAC